GGGGCCGCCCCGGCTCTGCCCGCTGGCGGTGGGAGCCCTTCCCGCCGTCGCTTGCCTGAAGCCCCCGTTTCTCCCCGGAACAGACCGCTCCTCCGTTCGAGGAGGGGGCTTGTACGCCCTGTGCTTCGAGCACCAGCCGCCCCCCACCTCTCCCGGCTTTGGGGAGGGGGGTTCAGCGCCTCCTGCCTCGGAGGATGCCGAAACGGTTGTGGATGCCCGAGTTGGGCAGGTATTAAAAATAACCCGGCGAGGGCCCTCCCTTGGCTGTGCTGCCCGGCGGCATAACCGACCCCTGGGTCTCTTTGGGGTCTGTTTTCAGCGTGCTGCAGCGTCAGGTCTTAAAAGTGAGCCTGGAAGGCAAAAGGCGTCCTCGGGCTGTGATTTTCAGGGGCCGAAGCCTTTGAAGTTCCTGGGGACTTAGTCTGCTTCCACTGGGTTTGTCCTCTATGGGATTCATCTCCACGCTCTGAAACGTGCAGTTGTTTATGCAGGGAGTGGACAGGAATGGATACTTGGACCTGACTTACGTGGTAGTGGTGTGAAAACCAGCATCCGGGCTTTGGCTTTCGTCAGCGAGCGGCTGTGGACGCTGCCTTACCTTTGCAGGAAAGGGTGATTTCCTGACCTCTGATTTCGTGGCCAAGCCACAGCGAAACTGTTTGTTGCTGCAGCCGAGTGTTTGAGGAATCGAAGTGTAATTGGAAGGAAAAAAATCCTTTCTCTCCCTCACCTTCATGTTAATGTGCTCTCGTGTGTTGGGAACAGGAAGGGTTTGGATGACCGTGTTCCTGTAATATTCCTTACGGCGGGGGGAATACAGGGTGGCTCACAGCTACGGTTGCTGTTCACGTAGGGATTTATTGCTTTGGCACTGAGGAAGTAAATATTCTGCTGCTTTATGCAATTAATCCTGTCCTGGTATCTGACCGAACAGGGCCGTGCTCGTGCTTTACTCGCTGTTTAAACAAAAAAGATTGGATGCGATTTACAGCAGGTAACTCTGACGTCAGGCTTACTTTTTAGTGAGGACAACGTACGTCGTGCCACAGGTGCCCCTGCGGCTGCCTGATAGCTCTTTGCAGCTATGGCTGGTCTTTGTGGCAGGTTTTATATCCTCCTTTCGGGAGTGTGAGGTTTTGTGTTCACCTCTGTCCCTTTCTTTAAAGAAAAACTGCCTCGGTCATCAGCAGCTGGACACGAGGCATCTCCGACTGCTGCTGCCCCGAGCCTCGAAGCGCCGTCTCTCCGGTTTGAGAATGGCATCTCCCCGTGTAGGACAGCGCTGCCCCGGTCTAGTAAATCTGGTGAAATGAGCCCCTTTCCTGCTGGGGTTTGGATCCGTGTGCTGGCTTGGCGCTCTGCAGGGCGAGGGGGACGGTTTGCCTGCCCGGCAGGCGCTGACATCCCCTTCCACCCGTTCTGGAGCTCTTGGTGGAAGACTAGAAGTGTCGTCACCCTCCCAGCCTTGCCACGCTGATGAAGGCCTCTTGGGCAGAGCACCAGGGTTGTCTTGTCTTGTTGTGGATCCCAATATAGCGCTTCGTACCCTGTGAATCCCGGCGTAACTGGGGATCTTTGCCTTTTAAGGAGACTTTATTCGTGATGTTCAGTAAGCTTGGTATAGAATAAGCTGGTTTGGTCCTGTTTAAAAATATCTCTGGCTCTTCTTTTTGTTACTTATTGTAACCAGTTAAAGAGAGGTGATGTTTATTCAGTAACCTGCTGTAAGGGGCAGCTGCCTCCGAAACTGATGCAACTGATCTTCAGACAGGGCTGGAAACTTTCACACTCTTTAGAGATATCGGTAGTAAAATCCTTGAGGTTTCTCTCGATGCATCTTCCAGGCAGTGCCGATGCTGTGAGGTCCGGTGCTGGTGGGTGGCTGCAGGACTGGCAATATCTGGGGCGGTTTCTGTGATCTTTAGACAACCATATTAAATTCCAGGTGATGCTCATTTGAGTTCCCTTGCCTTGATCTCACCTAGAGAAGCATCTCGCTTTGTTTTGTTTCTTTAACCTGTGAGAACAGAGAGAAATGGAAGAATATCCTTTCTTGCACAAACCTGTTGCATCAAAATGTGGCAGCAGCTCTGTCAGCTGACAGCAACTTCGTATTTGCGTTAAACACTGCGTTTGAAAACAGTTTTAATCTTCGTGTCGGTGCAATTTGGTCCAAACATGAAAATACCGTGCACTGGGGAATTTGAACTCATGAAAAATGCCATCACGTGTCCCTACGGCTTGTGGAAGCGATGGTAGGGAGGGCAATGAGTGGGGATCTGCTCGCCAGCATTCTGCAGGTCAACCTAATGACTGACTTGTGAGCACAGCGTTTGCGGCTGGACATACTTACTCGGTCAAGCGGAAGGTCTGGAGAAGTCAGGGAGCCTTCAGGTGCTCAGGTTCTCAGCTCTGAAGGAGGAAACAAGTTGAGAAGGATTGCTGAAGTTTAACCGGGGGTCCTAAGAACTAAACCCTCCGAAAGGAAAGGCACGTGGGGCCTGTGGAGCGGAGAGGAGAGCGCTGTCACTTCCTTGGAGGAGGGACAGCCGGGTACCATGGCTGCAAGGGGTTCAGGGGCTGAATTAAGTCCCTGTTTCCTTGTTTCACAGTGTAAAGGGTCAGGCCCGTGCTTGTTTCAAGAGGATCAGCTGCCTTTTGCTTTGTAGCTTGCGGAAAATAACTGTAAAATGTGAAGTTTGTGGGCAACTTCTGGTTCATCTCTGTGTTTCTCGTGCTTACTCATCCTCCGCGCTGTGCAGTCCAGGCTTGCGGAAGCTGGTGCCTTTATATCGCCCGCTGTTTCACTGCTGCTGTTTTCCTTCCTGTCCTATCCAGGGGCACATGTCCAAACACACTTCAGCTTTGTTGCAGATTCCCTGCTCTTCGTATATCTCTTTTAGACACAGTTGCACAATAGCAGGCAAGTTAAGCTGAGCTGCCTTACCTTGGCCATACTGCCTAATTAAGTAATTGTTTTTAAGCTACACAGTGAGATGAGAGGTCGTTTCCCTTTGAAACCAAACTGTTCTGCAGCTGGAAGTAGTGAAACAGGCTCTCCCTGCGCTGCCCAGGCCGCTGGCAGCCTGCCCTTTCGATAGCAGTGCTGCGCTGGGGTTAGTTCAGGGGCTTTCTTTTTGAATGGAGGTGAGCAACGGGGAGAAAGAAATGTGTGGTTTGCCTCGGTATTCTAGTGTTTCTCCTTATTTCTGAGCACTTTCCTCCCAGCCTGGCCATTCAGGCTCTTAAAGTGGTTATGCATCCTTTGCTTTCCTCTTCCCGTACCTTTAAGGGAGTTTCTCTTCCTTGTGCAGTTGTCTTCTGCTGGACTTTAGTCAGGCTGGGACCTCACTGGTCTGGATTAAAGGGTATCGTGCTAGCATGCAGTAGCTGTTGTGCATTAGCTGACTTGTAAGCTTGTGTTGACAGCCCATGTGTCTGCAAAACTGGTTGAGCTAAAGCCTCCGGAGGAGTGAGTGGTGAAATAAAGCCTGTGCCTCGAGTCCTTGGCAGCCCTTATTGCCAGCGTGTTCTGCTGGTGCTCCCCATTTTTTAACAGCCTTGCCCGGCCAAGGAGTTGTACTTCATCAAGCAGCATCCGAAACCTCCTTGTCTGAGATCCCTCAGCCCAGGGTGATTCATAAACTAGTGCAACCTGTTGTATAGGGAGTGCCTGCTATCAAGGAGATGTGTGGAAGTTACTCATTAACTGCTCTTATGCATCTTGCTCAGCAGAAGGCTGTGCTAAAACCCCAGGGAATGGCTCCAGTGAGTTTCAGACAAGTCAAATTACTTTTCTGCGGCGCATGGACTCGGTTGGCCCCCGCACGCCTCGATTGCTCACTCTTACCTTGTCGCAGCCTCAATTGCTTCTCACCCTGTTAACCACAAAATTGAAATGACTGATCTTGAGACACCAGTTACTGGGAGAGGGAGGGATAAAAAGCCACTTCTAATTATTTTTTTTTTTCTTACCCACAACCAGCTATCAGGCTGTTCTCACAGTAGGATTTGTGAGTTCAAAAAGTGCCTCGTTGCTTTAATAACTGGAGAGAGACACTCCAGAGGTCCAGGTCTGGCTACTAAAGAGGGATCTTTTATGGAAAGTGGCACATATAAAAGAAGAAATAAAAATAGCCAAGAGTATTGCAGGCGAGGGAAGAAAGGTGTTCTCAGCTGAAGGGCCGAGGGCCTTTTTTTAACAGACTCTTTGACGGAGACAAGTAGGAGGTGCTGTGAGTACAGGTGAAGGCAGCTGTTGTGCTGGTGGAACTAAAACCTCCAAGAGTAATTGGTGTCACACCTCCAGCTCAGCTTCCCTGGGTGTTTTGCCTTTTCAGAGCAATTGTGGGCATTTTAGCTTGCTGGTCCAAATGCCCTTGGGCAGCAGCCCAAGGTGAGCCAGGACCAGTTGTACCTGGAGACTCATTTTGTGAGGCTCTGCTGTGCGATGTGGATCCTCGCTCGCTTTGTGGTGCAAATGAGGTTTGGGAGGTGGTCCTGGGCATCCAGCAGCGTTCTAACCATGGGTGGATGAATCCCTGTCACTCTTCAGGTCTCTGGAAATTAGGGCTAACTCGCTGTAGGTAGGTGGTAGTAGCCTGCAGAAAGGGCTCCTGTGCTGAAAGCTTGTAGTTTTTTAAATGTAGCTCTTGGCTGAACAGGAGGTTCCTTCTGCCCACAAATCTTGCCTTGCTGATAGCCATCTCCTTGGTTATTTAAATTCGTTGCCAGCCACGGCCACCGCCTGTGGCAAGTGTGCTTCACCCCATCCGGTTCCCCGTTAACAAGTGGGTGGAAGGCAGGCAGTGTGGGTAACGTACAAGCTAACGATGACCTGTGTCTGATGCTGATTCGTCTTTGCTCTCTCTCTCCTTGCAGGATCCCTCGGTCACGCAGCTCACAAATGCTAGCCAAAGTGGCTTGGATGAATTCAACCCCTTTTCTGAGAGCTCCCAGCTGGTATGTGCCCCGTGTCGTTGCACTTGGTGGTGGTTTTAGCACCGTAGAAGGTCCCTTGGTAGGGGCAGCTTAAAAGAAAGAGTGAGGTGTTGGCAGCTGATTTCCCCATGGACGCTGTAGCTCATTGCGTGCATGGCAAGCTGCAAGCAACTGCTGCTGCACTGGAGCACTAATAAACTCCCAGCTGGAGCTCCCTGCTCACATGGAACAGCTTGTCTCAAACTCGCTGCTGGCTCACAATAAAGCTATATGAAGTGTGAAGGGGAAGATGTTTTGTGGCAGGACACATCAATATTTATTTGGTCTCCGGGCTGGGAGCTGAACTGCTGCGGCGATACCGCTGATGGATCGCTGTAGGACCTTCATTCGTATTTCCTGGCTGCTGACTTGTGTGAGGTGGGAAAAGGAGAACAGGAAACCAGGGTAAAGCGATATTTGAGGTTTAGACAACGGATCAAAATCCCTTTTTGTTTCTCCTTATTAATAGCTGTAATCCTCAGGTGCTGCTCCCCCAGTGCATTAAGGAACTAAGAAACTTTTCGAAAACACAGAGCTGCTTCCTGCTAGTGCTCTCTGGTTTGGTTGTGCTAAAACTTGAACTATCCTTTGCCAAGAGGAGCAATATGTAGTGGTTTTGCCTTGTTGCTTGTGATTTCTGCGCAGACAAATGCAGCACGGACGACGCCAGCCACGCAGCCCTCTGGCCACTCGCAGCCTGCTGTTCTGCAGACGTCTGTGGAGCCCACTCCCCAGGTATGGCCACCCCTCGCTGCTGCCTTCCCAAGAGCTGGGCTGGAGAGGGTGAAGGAGCTCCCGTGGGCCTCCGGAGGCCTGTGGGAATAGGAGGGGAACGGGATTCTTTGGGGTTGGGTGTGGGAAGCTGCAGGTGATCTTTTAAACTTGCGTTTGTCCCTGCCTTGTGAAGCGGCTCTCTACAGGGAACACATACACGCAATTCTTTTTGTGCCTTTTTCCCTGTCCCTCTGGTGGCAGAGCTCACTTTGCCTTGTATCCTCCTGGCTCTGGCTTCCCTCTGCAAACACTGAAATGCATCCTGCTAATGCTTTTAGCTTAGTTCTGGTGACTGGTCAGACAGGCTCGGTTCCAGGAGTGTAAATGCAGCCTAGCTATAGTTTGCAGCCACTGCTTAGACTGGCTGGCAAGTACCCGACTGCCAGGACCCCCTCATGCCAACAGCAGAGATGCTGAGGCTGCTAGGAGAAAGGGTCAGTTCTCAGAACAGTTAACAGGCAGAAGAGATGCTTAAGAGGCATGATAGACAGCTCTCTTGCCGTTCCTCTGAACCTCCTGTCCTAGCTGGGAAGGGAATTGTCCTGGGAAGCTTGGGAGTCTTGCTCACTGCTCTGTTGTAAGAGCGCGTGGAGCAGTGAGGCTAACTGGGAGGTAGAAGAAGCTGCAAGGAAACCACAGTTTTGCTGAAAGGGAAGGGCGTAGAGGATGGGTAACAGACTGCATAGCCTCTTGAGGGCTCTTCCAGCCCTCTCTTCCCATGGGATAAGAGAGGAACATCTGGGTGGAGTTCTGCATTGGTCTTGATTTCGTCCTCCAGCAGGTAAGGCCTCAGGATGTTTCAGATCGGCCATGGGTGTTCAGCCTTCAAATTGTCCTTAATCCTTGCTATTGAATCGCCTTTGCTTCCGTTCCAGTTTGGCATCTGGTGTGTTTGCTGGTGGTATTGCCCCTGCCTCAGTTAGGGAAGGACTTACCCTTTCCTCCCCCTACTTTAGGCTGTGGCTGCGGCAGCACAGGCTGGGCTTCTTCAGCAGCAGGCAGAACTAGAGAGGAAGGCAGCGGAGCTGGAGAAGAAGGAAAGGGAATTGCAGAGTAACGCAGCCAGCATTAATCGTGAGTACAGCTTCCTGCGGTGCCCTGCCCGCAGCGAGTGCGATGCCCAGAGAAGTCTGGGTCGCTCGGTTTGTCAGGATTGGGTGAAGGCTCAGCCTGTCCCCGTGTGTGTGGCTTTTTTGGAAGCCATGTGTCTTTCCTCTAGTCCTTCAAAGCTGTGGCAGCCCTCTTGGGACTGTATCTGTCGTCCCGTAACCGACAAGGTGGGAAATGAGCTCAGAGATGAGGTGCTGGAGACCAGCTCTGGTGGGTCTCTGCCCTCGAGCGTGCTCTCAGCATCTGCGTTTGGCCACATTAAGTTCTTTAAACACCGATTTTGTATCCGTGTCTGAGCTGTTGTGTGATGCTGCCACGTTAAGGCTTTTTGCTGAGAGCAATACAGCGCTTTTTCAGTCTCTTAACCAGAGCAAAACAGTATTTTCCCTAACCTTGATTTTTAAATGGCTGAATCTGGACTTGCAGTGCCGAGTGGTGGGGGCTGTGATGGCCCTGGCCACTGCAGGCGGATGCTGCCTCCCACAGAGGAAAGCCTCAAACCAGGCTGACCTGCCTCGCTGCTGCCAGCAGAGTTAACAGATCCCTGCTGTGCTGCCTGCTCAGACCTGCTCACTTACCAAGACCCAGCCTCTTCCAAGGTTGTAGTGTCCGTACGTGTGAATGGCTCCTTGCAAATGGATCTCTCGAGGAGAGAAGAGCAAGTGGAGAACTGCTCTTTTCTCCTTTCCACAGCGAGGCAAAACAACTGGCCCCCTCTTCCCAAGAAGTGTCCGATCAAGCCGTGTTTTTATCAGGATTTTTCTGCAGACATCCCAGCTGACTACCAGCGGATATGCAAGATGCTGTATTACTTGTGGATGTGTAAGTAATAGCCTGAGCTGCAGTAAAAAGTCCTTTCTAAGGCGATTCTATATCAAATGCTGAGCTTTGCCCTTCGGTAAATTCTGTAGGTGTTGTCTGCAAGGGTAAAATAACGTCCCTTTCCCTTTTTTGTGCAGGCAAATGTAAAGGACTCCTAAGTTTATGCTTTGGGAATAGCTCATTCATGACAGAATTTTGATTGTTGTTTAATGGAGACTTCAACAGCTCTCCTGAGACTCTGAAAGATGGCAGATAGCGCAGTTCAGAGGTCGGGCACAAAACAGCCTCAACTGTATTTGTCGATTTTGGTGCTCTGAAGAGATTTAAGGTTTGGTTGTAAGCAGCAGGATCAGATGAGGGTCTTAGGTTAAGCTCTGTTTTCCTTTCAAGGGAGGGAAGGAAATTAGATGGCCTAAAGGCTCCTTAATTGCTGCAGAGCTCCATGTGTTCAGTGAGAGATTAGGGATGCTTGGAAACACTTCTGAGTTTTCCAAGAACTTACTGATGGTTTTTTCTCTCTCTCCCACCCCAAACAGTGCATTCGATTACCCTGCTTCTAAACCTGCTTGCTTGCCTGGCATGGTTCACAGTCCAGACGGAAAGAGGAGTAGACTTTGGTCTCTCAATCCTGTGGTTTATTTTATTCACCCCTTGTGCCTTTCTGTGTTGGTACCGACCAATTTACAAGGCTTTCAGGCAAGTGCTATTTTCTTCTGTAACGGGAATATATCCTTGTAGTGGGAGGAGCTTTGGTTTTATCTGTTCTGATCGTATATTGCCTGCAGGATTTTTCCGGCTCTTTGCGTAGTTAAATAGATCAGACCCACTTGTTCCTAAACAACATATTAGAAGTGTCTGATAGAACTTGATTATGGTGGTCTCTTTTAATCTTGAAATCCAAGCCTAGCCAGTCACAGGGTCCTATTTTTTATTAATTCCTGTTTGGTACTTCAATGTTTTGAGCGCGCTGTGTGTGTTAAGCTGCCTTCGCCCCATCTTGCCCTGGGCAGAGCGATGGTTTTGCGATATGCAGTGGGCCTGTTGTAAGTTGTGTTGCTGCGCGAGTTCCTTCTGCCATCGCCTCTCTTGGTGGCTGTCCCCTGGAGGAAGGGGCTCACTGAATGTGTTTCCCCCCTCTTGGAGGAAGTGAGTCTGTGCAGGAATCACGTCCCGGAGTTTCACTCCTGCTGCCGTCTCTCCTGCAGGTCTGACAGCTCCTTCAGCTTCTTCGTCTTCTTTTTCATCTTCTTCTGCCAAATAGCAATCTACATCATCCAGGC